TATATTATTATTTGACATATTTGATCTATATCTAAAGTTGCTCAAGCCCCATTGCCTTGCCTAAGCTTACAGGGTATTTGTAACGAGCAACAGCAGTGGGAAAGTAAATTTTATTTTAAAATAAATTTATCGCCTTATCCCGTTGTCCACGGCAGCAACGGGACATAACGGGACACACACACCTATACAGGGGGCAAAGTCAAGTTATTTTTTCAGTTTTCTTTTTTGTCTCTTTGTTGATTTTGGTTGCAGCGAACTGGCCCATAGCGCCAATTGCAGGGACACAACACATGCCATGAGCCGGCCCAGCCCACCTGCCCACCAGTCCAGCAGTCCACCTGGACGCAGCGCCCGGCTGCCCCCCACCCTGGGACCCAGTTGGACGCACGCAGCGCTTCATTTGAACGAAATGAAATCATAATGAGATTTTCGTTCAGTTTTTTGTTGTTGTTGTGTTTGAGAGGGGGCTGGGGTGGACGACGCTGGCTGTGGGCGTGGCTTGGGCATTGCCATGGTCGCGGCATAATGACAAAAAATTCATAATTGGATAAAGATGCGAACGTGTGCGAGCTGCTGCTGCTGCTACTACTACTTCTGTGTATGTGTGTGTGTGTCTGTGTGTCTGTGTGTGTGTTTGTGTTGCGTTTAGCTATTAAAATCAGAATCATAAAGTTAGCCAAAAGCTTGAGAGCGCTTTAAAGCTGCAGTCTGCAGCAYATAACGTAAACACACACACACACATGTGTGTGTGTTCGTATGGCTCATTTGTCAGTTCGTTCGCTTGGATAATTGTCCTGCGATAAACAAAATTAGCAGCAATTTAAGCGAATATAGCTAAATGCCAGCCGACAAAAGGACATCGACAGGCGACAAATGCCATCAGCACACACACACACCCTCAATTTATAGCCTTTGCCTGGATATTCATGTGCCTGCTGTCGCCCTGCGACGACGACATTAGTTATAGTTTTGATGAGTGGCATTAATGAGTCGTCTCTATGTCTGCAACTGTCTAACCGACACACACACACGCACACACACATAGTTAGTGCCTTTCTGTGTCGCCTTTTGTCTTTTTTGGCTGCGGAGGGAGTTTTGGGCGCTGACATTAATGACACCCACACATGGCATCCAATTTGACAGGCAACATGAGCAAAATTAGTGAAAATCACAATCGCAACTCGCTAACCCAGCCAGCACTCACACACTTACACACTCACACTACTCGCACTCCTCACACACTCACACTACTTTTGCACACTCTCTTTTTGCTGGCGCTCTCTCACTCTCACTCTCGCTCTCTCCCTCTCTCTTTGCCTTTCTTTATGCTGCGCCTTAAAGCACTTTTTTCTGTCTACTCTGTGACTTCTGCCAGCTGCTGCTGCTGCTGCTGACCAATTCGAGGGGTTTGRGCTTGACTTTTGGGTGCCGATAACTATCGACAGCAGCCGATACTGGCAACAAGGCATGAGTTATTTATGGCTTTTAAGCGACAGCTACAGCTACAGCTAAAATCTTTCAAACACTACTTACCCCACAAAAAAAAAAAAAAAAAAACCAAAGCAAAAACAAATAAATAACGGCATCAAGGCTCGTGCATAGTGCAAACATGTTGGCTTTCTTTAAAGCTAAATTCCAGCTGGCCATTGAGTGCTGCACTAACAGCTATAGCTTTAAGGCTAATGTTTTTAGCTTTATCTAAATTAAAACTAGCTAACTAGCTTTTAGCCTTGAGCAGTCTAGTAATTAAAACACAAATAAATGAGTATTAATAATTTACAATATTCTTTTAAAATGTTTTTTTAAATCAATTGAGAGATTTATACTATACATAAAATATATATATGTATATACTTTAAATTGTAGAACATACTATTAATTCGCTTCAGCTCGCTTGATTACATTCTTATATGAAAGTTAGCCGTTTTCTGGCCAACCGCGATACGGCAGCACTGTTGCGTACGCTGTGGCAGGCGCCTTAACAGTTAAACAGCAGGGATGCCAGCCGGGCGAAGGCCTGTCAACTCACATATGGAGATTTATTTGCAGCACATTCGAATGTTAAGCGCATTTGTAAGCATTTTTAATAGAGTCCGCCGATACTAACGGTAGCGGGTCTTCGGTGGGTTAAGCGCTGCCAGTGTATGCGTGTGTGAGTGCGAGTCCACTCTTCCTGGCAAAGTTCTCCACTCTCTTTCTCTGTCCCTCGCTCAACATATCTAGCTGTCAATTGCCCTCGTTTGCCCTTCAACAAATTTGGCTGATTGTGATTTAAGGCTGCGATTGTAGCTGACATAATCGAAATGCCAGAGATCAGAAATCGAATTAGAGCAAGAACAAGAGGAAGCAAATATGAAGTGAATTTATATACATATATTGTACACATATATTTTTCTTTAACAAGTTTATTTGAGTTGGATTTGTTTGACATGCTATGCGAGAGATGGGCAACTGATACTCAAAGCAAATCCAATTGAATATACATAGCATGTCAGATAAACATACATACATAGCTTTCATATATGTATGTATGTATATGTATGCAAGGTTAGCTGGTATTAAATACCTTTCACTCTAAATTACTTGACGACATTTGAAATTGCGGCAATTTTCCAGCCAAACACTCATTGAAACGTTAAGCAGCTGCTTTATGGCTTAATTTTTAGCTTTAAACAGCGACAGAGTAAGCGCAGCGGGTGGCAGCAACGGCGTCGGGTGAAGGACGGCAGGCACGTATGCATATTTGCCGAAAAGAAAAAACGAAAAACATCTGGCAACGCTGCTTAAGCAGACAACAGACAACAACACCGCAGAGTGCCAACTACATGCGTGCAATAAAAACATAGCCAAAAGCTACAGCGAAAAAAAAGAGAAAAAAAAAAAACACGAAGCAAAACGAAAAGAAAAACAAAACAGAAACTAGACAAGCAGTGCTGCTTGCGTTTATGTGTGTGTGTGTGGGTTGGTGTGTATTTTTAGCTTAATTTTATTATAAAGCGCAGCGTGTGCAGGAGTGAGAGTGAGAGGGCGATGCCCGAAAGCCGCTCCCGACGCTGATAAGCCGGCAACGTCTTGTGACTTTGACTTTAATGACTGGATTTATAGGTCCTTGGAGATAATCTCGGCCAGCGAGCGACACACACAACAGCAGCAGCAGCAGCAGCGCTGCCGGCGGCGACTGCTGCTATTTTGTTTACCAAGCGTCAGGGCAAAAATTTGCCAGCATCTCGCATTCAGCTAGATCCACTGTGTGTGTGTGTGTGCGAATGTGAGAGAGAGAGGAGGTGATACTATAGCGCTAAGGACGTCGTCGTTGTTACAGGGTAATTAACATCAAAGCCCGACAAAGCTCATAAAAAGACAGCGAGATAAACATACGCACACAGTGAGCGAGCGTGTGAGAGTGAGTGAGGGGTGGGGGGGGAGAGACGCACACATGGGACATAGTACGTGGTGGACGTGCATAGTGAAATCAGAGGGGGAGTGGGCGAGGGTCATCAACTTGTCTGCCAAGTGGCAGCACTGTTCGGCGAATTGGCGACGAAACGCTCAACGTGAAATAATGTTGACAGCGACAGAAAAAAAAGGATGCGCTAGAAAGCAGGAGACACACACACACACACACACACACGGACACTCATTGCCAGACAATGAGCGTGCACGCACATGTTTGAAGCAATTAAAATCAGATAAGTTATAGAAAATGGCCTGTCGTCGACATTTAGACATGCCACTGTCACAGGAGTAGCCCTGTCTCACTCTCCTCCTCTCTCACTCACTCCCTCTCTCTCTGCCTTTGTCTCTCTGTCTGTGACGTCTTCCGTTACGTTTGTCACGGCTGCCATTGTCTCGTGCCTTGTCTGCCATGTTGCATGTGCCGTTGGCTCTGCATCCGCCCGACCGCCCGCCCGCCCGCCCGCCCGCCCGCCACGCCCCGTTTTACCTAATGAATTTCAACGAGCCAAAGTGACAGCCAAACGAGCAACAGAAGCAGCAGCAGCAGCAGCAGCAGCAACTGCCACTTGCCACACACACACACACGAACACACACTACTACTGTACGGCCACATAGGTGTGAAATATTTTTGGGTTCAAATGCTGCCAACAACAAAAACAACATGAGGAGGAAGAAGAAGCAGCCAAAGAATCCGCAAGGCAGCCAGAGCCAGCATTCAACTGTTCATTCGTATGCCTCATACACGGAATCAGCTCCTGCCACTTAGCCACGCCCCCTCACACACACACACACTCGCAGAGAGAGCAACTGCGCTCAGCCGCATCCGCGGCATCTTCAGCTGATGTATTCATGGCCTTGACGTTAACGGAGTGACAAAATTCGCACCCTTCGCTCAAGTGTAAATGGCAAAAACCCAAAAGAAACACGACAAAAAATGTGGATGGCTCGAGCTGGAAGTGATCGACTAGAAGATACACTGCTATTGTCATCAGCATTAGCATTGCCATTGACATTAGTATTAGCATTCAAACTAGTACTAGCACTAGCACTAGCACTAGCACTTGCATTAGCATTAGCATTAGCATTAGTGTCAGTATTAGTATTAGCATAAGCATAAACATTAACATTTGCATTGGTATTAGCATTGG